TGGTCATGTGTATATCTATGGGAGGGTGGGGAGAGGAACCAGAAATGGAGGGACCAGTGGAGCTCACTGGTCACGGATGAAAGTGAACTATACAACTTGTAGGTGGAGACGGGAGGGAGGGACTGGGAGAGAGCAAGGGAACAGAATATACTAGTACAAAAGGAAATGTATTCATTTCCTGACTCGTCATTTTAATCCCTCTGTACATCACCTCTATCACAACAATAAAATAAATTAATTTTAGCTCACGCCTGGGATTCTGGCTACTCAAAAGGCTGAGCTCTGAGGATTGTGGTTTACAGCCAGCCAAGACAGGAAAGTCCATGAGACTTATCTACAATAAACCACCAGAAAAATGGAAGTGGAGTTGTGGCTCGAGTGGTAGAGTGTTAGCCTTGAGCTGAAGAGCTGAGGGACAGCGCCCAAGCCCAGAGTTCAAGCCCCATGACCAACAAAAAATAAAATAAATAAATTAATTAATTAAAAGGATTTGCAGATAAAATATAAGCATGTAGGACTGAAGATATAGCTCAGTAATAGAGCATTTACTAGTCTGCCAGAGCCCTGAGTTTGATCCCAACACCACAGATAGATAGATAGATAGATAGATAGATAGATAGATAGATAGATAGATAGATAGATAGATAGATAGATAGATAGATAGATAGATCAGATTTTTTTAGGGGGAGGGTTGGTTATGAGGCTTGAACTCTGGGCTTGGGCGATATCCCTCAGCTCTTCAGCTCAAGGCGAGCACTCTACCGCTAGCACTCTACCGCTTGAGCCACAGCGCCACTTCCGGTTTTCTAGTGATTTATTGGAGATAAGAGTTTCATGGAGTTTCCTGCCTGGGCTGGCTTTGTACCTCAATCCTCAGATCTCAATCTCCTGAGTAGCTAGGATTACAGGTGAGAGCCACTGGTGCCTGGCAGATCAGATTTTTTTAAAGCCAAGAGAAAGTTTGTTCTTAAACATCATCTAGTTGAGCTTTCTTGTTTGTAGAAAAGAAGTACACAACAACTATATCATTGTGTTAATTATTATAATTTTTCTCAGGCTAATATTAAATTGAATTTACATTTCCTGATTATTTGCCAACTGAAGTTGACATGGCACAAACTGGAGATACACTGCCCCACCTAGGGACTGGTGGTCAGACTCATGATTGTACCGGGACACAGACTGAATTCTAGTTACCACAAACCAGTTCCAAGAGCAAGAACAGTCTGCTAACCAGCATCTCTACCAAATGATGCTAAGAGATTCTGTGTGCCTGGAGATTTTAGGGAGATGTACTTAGCCAAATTCTCCCAATGCAGCCAAAGAGTCATGTTTTTAACATTTTAGTTTGTTTTGTGATCTAACCTGAAAGCAATGCCAAATAGGCATTGAGAGGCTTGGTTGTCATTGCAAGTAATTGATTCTAATTTCTAATGACACAACTGACTGTTTCCCATCTTGCTTCTGTGTTCCTCAGGCTCAGAAAAAAAGTTTGAACCAGACCTCCCCCATGGCCACTTCCAAGACGGCGGACGGCCTGCGGCCCGCGCAGATCCCCGGGCTCTTGAACACACTGCCAGGTCAGACGCCTCTGCAGCCGCTCCCGCAGCTCCCCTCCTCCCACCCCAGCGCACTGTGAGACCTCCTGACACAATTTCACTGCTCTGCAAGCGCTCCTTCCTCTACCTGTCCACTGCCATGTCGGGTCATTGCTAACACACCATGAATGATCACTTTGTATCCCGCTGAGAAAGGGAAAAGCACTTCTAATTCTGTCATGACACATTAAATTCTGTGGAGATATGTCTGAGATCCAGGGCACCTGTGGCTTTGAACTGGGTCCTCACGGTGCTCTGTACACAGCAAATCCCTTCCTGATGCTCATAATGCCATGAGTTATATCAGCCTACCCATCTGACCCCGTTACCCCCGTCACTTCCTCCTGTACTCTCTTCCTGTCAGTCTTACTTTGAGGTCCTAAAGTACAACAGGTATTGAGCTTGAGGCTCAGACCACAGGGAATTCGACACTAGGGCTTTACTTACTCTTTGTTTTAGTTTTAGTTTTTGCCAGTACTAAGGCTTGAATTCAGGGCCTGGGCACTGTCCCTGAGCTCTTTTGCTCAAGGCTAGCACTCGACCATTTGAGCCTCAGTGCCACTTCTGGCTCTTTCTGTATATGTGGTACTGAGGAATCGAACCCAGGGCTTCATGCATGCTAGGCAAGCACTCTACCACTAGGTCACATTCCCAGCCCCTTCTTTGTTTTTGCTTTTTGATTTTGTCAATTGTGGGTCTTGAACTCTGGGCCTGGGCGCTGACCCTAGCTCTTCGGCTCAAGGTAAGCGCTCTACTAGTTGAGCCACAGCGCCACTTCCTGATTACTTATTACCTAAGTAGACCCTTCCCTCTGCCCCTGGAGCTTGTAAAGCAATGTCCTCTTCTGCTGCCTTCCTCACAGCAAGCCTCCACGAGAAAGAAATCCCTTTCAAGGACTGATGGCATGGCTTACAAAGTAAAGCATCTGCCTAACAAGCGTGAGATCCTGAGTTCAAACCCTCCCGGTACTGTCAAAAGAAAAAAAAAATCCCTCTCAAAATATTCCATCATTTTCATACATGGGGCTTTAGGGGACTTGATTTTCCATTCCATTGAACACTGTCTTCTGTTCTCACAGGGCAGGATTCTGCAAGCAAAGTTCTGCCGGTATCCTTAGGGAACTCCCAGGCACAGCAGGAAAAAGCAGTTGGATCATCTCCTGGCCAGTCAGCTGTGCAGGTAGAAAGCAATTTGCATAGCCTGTCCTTTGTTAGATAGCTAGCAGACGTGTGGTCCTGTCAGCCGCTCTGCTTCTGCTGTCCAGCCTTGTGCATTAATTACATAGGAGCAGGAGCTACAGGTGGCAGGGAGCTCAGTGTACAGTGCTTGCCCGCTACATGCAAGGACCTGGAGTCAATCCCCAGTGCCGAACGAATTAACACATACACATAGACACACATACACTCACATATACATAAACACACATAGTGGTGTATGTGTATGTAGATACACATGTATCTATACACAAGAAATGCCCTCACTGCATCTGATCGTAGAATAGTCATCCAAATGAACTCCAGGAAATGGAAACAAGAGGTTTTTTTCTTCTTTTTTTTCTTTTTTTGTTGGTCATGGGGCTTGAACTCTGGGCCTGGGTGCTGTCTCTGAGCTCTTCAGCTCAAGACTAGTGCTCTATACCACTTGAATCACAGCTCAAACACTTCAGGTTTTCTGGTGGTTAATTGGAGATAAGAGTCTCACGGATTTTTCTTGCTTGGGCTGGCTTCAAACCATCTTCCTCAGATCTCAGCCTCCTGAGTAGCTAGGATTACAGGCACCTGGCAAGATGTGGTGGGTTTTACTTGGAACAGTGTTCTGCCACTTTTCTACTGAAAGGACTAACAGGAGGTGTGCTTTGTTTCTAGGTGGACAGTCATTCAGGAGGACAAAAGAGGCCGGCTGCAAAACAGCTAACGAAAGGCGCTTTGTGAGTTACCTTTGGCAGTGTCAATTAATTTTTAATTTTGCTGTAGGTCCCCAACCTTTAATAAGCATTCTACAGAAGCAAGGTTATAATAGTGAATTTACTCACCTTCTAAAAATGTACTTTGAGCTGGGCATCAGTGGCTCAAAACTGTAATCCTAGCTACTCAGGCTGAGATCTGAGGATTGCAGTTCAAAGCTGTAGCAGGAAAATCCATGAGAATGGTCTTACCTCCGTTTAACTACCAGAAAGCCAGAGGAGCTGTAGCTCAAGTGTTAGAGCACCAAACTTGAACACAAAAGCCCAGCAACAGTGCTCAAGCCCTAAGTTTAAGTCCCAAGACTCGCTCCAACAAAAAAGCCCTTTGAAAATCTTTTCCTACAGTTTGTTTTCTGTAGAACCTATATATCAGCAGTAGGTTGAGCCTGCTGTTTACTCTTTTGTTCTTAAGAGTTCTTTGTCTTTTTTTGAGAAACAGAGGGTCTCTGAGAGTCAGGGCTCACCAAGCTCCTGTGTTTAGCAAGCAGTGTTAGCGTGCACTTGCCGTCCAGTGGTCAGCCCGTGCGCCCACCCTCAAATGGTCGGAAACCCGGCGCTCTCAGAGTCAGGGTCATAATGATAATAAAATGTAACGTGAACAAACAAGACTGCTACAAAAATGACATTCCTGTAGCCCTTATTTCCTTTGCATGCTAGTAAGCAGCATGATGAGATCTGATTTCCTAATATGACTCTCCATTGACCCTGGCCATTTCTCCTTTGAAGCATCCTGCAGCAGCTTCAGAGGGACCAAGCCCAGGCGGTGACACCTGACAAAAGCCAGTTCCGATCACTGAGTGACGCGGTGCAGAGACTGCTCTCCTACCACGTGTGCCAGGGCTCCACGCCCACCGAGGAAGACTTGAAGAAAGGTAATCAGGTGCCCCCAGGCTGCCACGGAAAAGGAAAAGCAGGGTCACCCCCAGCTGGTAGACGTAAAGTTTTCCTCTCAGGCCTGGCTTGTGAAAATACTGTACAGAGGGGTTACAATTACATGAGCAAGGTAATGAGTACATTTCTTATCAAGCATTGTTGCCTCCTCCTTTGTTTCCCCTTCCCA